CTCCAGCAGCCTGTCCACAGGGCATTATGGGTAAAGGCACATGTGCGTTTGTGTAAAGGAGCTAAAGCTGATCTTATCATTTGTGTAAATGTATTTTATAGAAATTCGTATTCGTATTCATATTCATATTTGTATTTTATAGAAAAACTGCTGTGGGACACACATGAGTAACAGATGTACTAAACTGGTTAACTAGCGCTAAATCCCAAGTGAAGATTTATGATGACTGTTTTCATGAATCACAGATAGGAAACTAGAACACTGCTTCAAGAAGCTTTATTTATTTATTTATTTTTTATTATTTCATTGTTTTTTAAATAATTGAAAGTAACTTACAATAGCATTTCGAATACTGTTTGTATGAATGTGTAACAGAAGTCAAATAGCAGCGACAATGACCAAAGTAGTATCAAAGATGGCAACGTCCATAAACTGAAAAATCTTTTTAATTTTTGACATAACAAGAGTCAATTGAGCCGTGAGTTCTTCCATCAAATCTTCATTACATTAACCGACAGCAGCTTTTATATTTGGTTGAAGAGCATTTGAGTCATGCATAGAACCACTGATCTATAACGGATCTATAATAGATCAATGCATAGAATACAAAATCGATGGGAGCAGCTCCAGTCGAGAACAGTGACTGGATCTAAAACCTTCAGATGACACACAGCTCATATCTGCATCTCTGTAAGTTACCGAAACCACACTTGAAAACACTCCGGTTACTAACCTCAGTTCCCTTAAGGCCTTAAGGGCTATGGATATGAACGGTCTGTGATGAGGGGCTATATGGATGTGAAAATAGGCATCTTTCAGATCCATTGATAAAAACCAGTCTCCGGGGCATACTTGCGCGAGGATCTGTTTTAAAGTCAACATCCTGAACGGCCGTTTCAATGGAGATCAACGGAGATCAAGGATGGGCCTGAGCCAACTGTTTCTCTTTTCTAGAGCCGGGTGTCAAGATGTCTGAGTCTATCGAGTGGCAGACGCCGCATGGAGGTGGGGAACTGACACTCGTGGTAATGAAAAGAGGAGAAGTGCTCTTCTGAGAATGTGGGTCCGCTATCACAGCGGTAGATTGCTTGGGCACATGCTGAGTGAGAAGGATGGGCCCAGCCTCAACAGAGCTTCCAGCCGCTGCTGAAGCCCAGGCTCAGACTTAGACTGGGGCTGGGCCAGAGGTGGCAAGGGCTTCGCATGCTGCTGGGAGGATGGAGCCTTCTGGCAACTTGTACCAGCTGCCATACTGGAGCGCTTCGGCAGGAAGTGACGCATGGCTTGCAATGACTTCTAACATAAACCACTCGGCAAAACCATCCATGGCTGGACAAACATCTGGATGGACTCATCCATTATGCAGAGAAGTTTGGCCAGAAAAACTTGGAGCACTGCCATTGTGTGAAAGGCTCAGCCAGCTTGACCAGCCGTTGAATAAGCCCTGCCACCTGTCAGCGACATAGAGTCATTGGTGCCAACTTCCTCCTCAGACCCGCTGAAGGGGATAAAGCCGATTGTGATGTCATGCGGGGGTTCCCTGCATTTCTTTTGAAGCAGATTCTTGCTTCTGACTGACTTCTTGCTAGTCCAGCGTGGAGATGTTCTTCTGCTGAAGGAGAAAAATTCTGACAAAATGGCACTGAGAGCCGACTTATATAGCAGTCATCTCCACCCTTTTTGGTGGGTTGAAGCACCATTTGTTTCGTGCAGGTAAACGAACGTAAACAAATCAGGCCTGTTTTCAGAGTAAACAGGAGTTTCCCCATAGCGTACAAAAGGGAACTTGCAACACACGGTATCCAATCTGGATCCGATCAATCTGAATGCGGTTGTCAGTCCTGAAAATCTACGGGTGTGAGTTTGGTTAATGCAGTTGTCACTCCCATAAGTTTGGTGAGCGGGTACAAAAAGAGGGGATTGCTTTACAGCAGCAACAAATATACATGTACAGCAATTCATAGTAATCACAACTGATATATTTTCGACAGTGATTATACTCACTTAACTGAGGCAATGTCATAAAAATTTGCAGAACTACATACAGTTGCTTTAACATGATGTTTTAACGACTTTTTAAATTAAAAATGTATAATATTATTTAAAAATAAACAATATTTACTTTGTATTATTTTATATTTTAAAAAATATTATTTTATTATTTGTTTTACTGAAAAGTAGACACACTTTTCAGTCTGGTATTGGTTCTTGTGATGCTGATTGTGCTTGTGCTTAAATGTCGCATTTTGTTAAAGGAGGCCATTTGAAGCAGGCTATTAATTCTGTTTCAAATCAATTCCAATAACATTAGAGAACGTCAACCTGATACTTTATGTTAAGTATGTTTTTTAGCTATTAAAATGGCCCTGGGGTCTTTGAGCCCTCAAACAGAACATGCGGGTTAACCATGGTATTAAATAATTCATGAAAAAAGAACGATGTGGAAATGGAGCCTGAGAGGGAGAGAGAGAAAGGGAGGTATAAAGAGAGGTGCTGTGAGGAAGCTCTTGGCTCTGCTTGTCTGCACTTGCACACTAGATGCGCTCTGCCTCAGCTCTGGAATGTGTTTGTGAGAGCAATTTAACCAATGACCCACCCAACCATTACCACAGAAATCTGATCCAGACAATCCACTCAGCCTCCTTCATTGTGTGTGTGTGTGTGTGTGTGTTCTTCTCTCTATTATCTTGCTTCCTCTATCTACTTTCTTTCATTTCTTCTCTCCCAAAAATGTGCCTAAACCTATTTTTCAAATTTGGTTCCCACAAAGTTTTCCTTTAACCACTGATTACTCAACCTGTTCACTCAAACACATACTCGCACACATACAAGCACAGGTTTGCACTCATACACAAGCACTCATGCTGACTGTGTTTTAATGGTAATCCATGAGCCGTGACAAGGCAAAAAATAAAACTTGAGAAGTTAAAGATGGTCATTAATACTGCACATAAAGGCAGAGGAGGGTGATTTTCTTTTTTCCTTTTCCCTATTGATTTCAGGGTTTCTCTCATATGATATAATGGGTAGTTGGTTACTGGATAGATAGATAGATAGATATACAGATAGATAGATAGATAGATAGATAGATAGATAGATAGATAGATAGATAGATAGATAGATAGATAGATAGATAGATAGATAGATAGATAGAAATTCCCTAATAAATTGATTTAAAGAATCCGTAATCAAAAAATGTGAAAGAATTTATTTCAGAATTCTGCTCTGGGACTATTTCTCAGTCAAGAATCAAAAGCGGTTGTTTTGTGGGATTTTGACATGACACTTTTGGCAGTGGTAAAGCTTAGATGAAATCTGATCAGACCAAAAGATTTGACAAGTCTGTGCTGTTTACATGTAAATCCAGGCCAATAAATTTAAATAGAAACATATGAAATCATTGCTATGATGAGATTTGTTTCTGGATGACTAATATAATTCAACATCCAACACAGACCTCTAAACCCTGTGAAGAAAAATAGACAACGACTTAATGTAAAAAGACAATAATGTAAAGTAAAATAATCATGGATGACAATGACAAAAACTGTCAATAAACACATGAAGCATTTTCTGCTGTACATTTCTGAACTGTATATTTAGAATGACCCTTCCTGAACACATCCCTCACCTCAGGGTAAATAAAGTTCCAGAGCGTTGCGGTTTAAACACGTGGCGAATTGTCTCAACATCGTACTGCCTGCTTTGCTGAAACTTGTGCAATGCTGCCTCCTACAGGCAACTGGCCGCCATAGACGCAGACGTAAAATACATTGCGACAATCCAACCACGTTGTTCGTTCACACACAACGCACTTTCGTTGTATGCCCACACGTTTACTCCTCAATAACACTGACATTGCCTTACGTAGCAGTGTGAGTTATGGACCTGTTTTCATTGTATGCTTAGTTAAGTGATCAGCTGGGACAGTCTAGTGTCCTTACGCGATTTTACAGAGACCCCTATATTTTCATCGTACAAAACTCTGCTCCAGGCACTGCTCTTCTTCTTCTTTTCTTATTATTGGCTGTTGGCAAACCCACTTAAACGGTGCATTTCCGCCACCTACTGGACTGGACAGGCACTGCTCTGCTTTGTACTGCTGTATAAGTACCGCGCGCTAACCGATTGCGCCACTGGAGCTTCGGCGGCTCACTGCTCTAGTCTACACGGGTCATGAGTGTAGACTAGAGCCTGCTATTACTTATTTTCGAGCAAAAGAGACTGTAACGTTATACAAACTGTCCGAGTAAAAGTCGATTATAGCAGTTTTTAAAAACACACATCCTGCTGGGCTTTTATTGATTTTACACTTTAAAATAAACTAGTTTTTATACTTTAAAATAGAATATAACAAAAAAATATCGATTCTAACAGCATCGCAGTTGTTTCCCAATATGGGTTTTCAAGTGTTACATCAATGCCCTGAAGTGATATCACATTTTAACAATTTATCTCGACTGTTCTTTCGATTTATGTAGGCTAATATTTCCAGCATATAGGCCACCGCATATGTAGTGACTGATTTGCGATCTAAATCAAACAGATAGCAAAGATAAAGATCATTTGATCTTCCTCGACTCCGCCCACAGTGGTATCTTTTCCCAAAAACTTAATGCAACTTGTAAAATTGTTCTCTAACCTTCACGATAACGAGAACTCCTGCCTTGATCGTTTGGTAAGTCTAAAAAGTCATTTAATCAATTATATTTTCTTCATTCTTTTGCCTGAGATATATAGGATTAAGATAATTTGGCGTGCTTATTCCACTAATTCACCATTAACTGAACAGAATTGGAGAACATTGTATTGCACAGCCAATCTTAAAGTATATATGGAGTTTTCTCAGTGTTTTCCTCAGGATTCTTCACCCACACCATCGCATTTGTCGAATGAGTGTGAGACAAGCAATAATGTTGGTTAGCATGGTTTGGATGGGTGTTCTACTCCTTCGTCTTTCACCCGCCCTGAACCTGGTTCTCACACCACAGAAAAACTCATCAAATCTCATATGCCATAGTTTTTTCTCATGGACATGGCCATCGGTTCAAATGAAGATTTATAATTCAGTACAGCTGATAGAGGTCCTGCTGGCATTTGCACTGGTGGTCTTCTGTTTTGTGAGGGTTTTCTCTCTTGTCCACAGTCGCCAGGGGGCTCACCGCAGGCTGAAGCGAGCAGTGAGATTGCTTCTGTTTCTTGTGATCATGTTTGTTCTGTGTTTCCTGCCTACAGTCTCTTTTGGCATTTTCCTTCAAGTGTTTCCCTGTTCGGAATTCCTCATGGTGTGTTTTCATGCCTCTTTAGCTTTAACCTACATGAACAGTGCACTGGATCCAGTAATCTACTGCCACATAAACGCTTGGTACCGTGACACCCTGAAGGGCACAACAAACTCACTGGGGCTGACAAAGTTCAAGATGAGTGTGAAAACGAACAGAAAACGTTAACCTACCTGGTAAACTGTTGTTTCTTACAATCAATGTGTTAGGGGAAATGAAAATGTGTGTCTTAAAGGTATAGTTCACTTAAAAATTAAAATTAATTTAATATTTACTCCTCATGTCGTTCCAAACCTGTATGACTTTCTTTCTTACACTTAAGATAATACTTTGAAGTATTACTTAAAAAAACTCAACTTTTTTTCTGAATATCTTCCTTTGTGTTTTACAAAAGTCATAGGTTTGAAAAAACATGAGGGTGAGAAAATGAAAATGAATTTTTATGTGAACTTTCCATTTAACCTAACAGTGACCTAATTCATTATTCTTTTGCACAATAAGTTCTATATGTTATACTGTATGCCTTTCTAGTTTGTTGTAATTTTTCTCTGCCTGTATTTATAGCCAACATGCATCATCAATTGCTTTTCATATTATTACACAGATACACAATCTGTACTGCGCTTTTTTATTTAGCATTTTTCAGTAAATGTTTGACACAGTGAAATACAACAGAAATGTATGAGGCATAGAAAACAAAATAGCTTATTGTTTCACTGTCACATGCTGTCACATTGCCCTTTGAAGTTAAAAAAGCCAATGGTTTTCTTCCTTAAAAACATCCAAAGGGTATTACTGGCATCTGAAAGAGTCTTCAATGTCCAGGGGAACAGAACCTTAAAGTCCTGAATGAATATTTAAGAGTTGCAAAGGCTGCTTTGACTTCCACAAATCATTACAACATCTCCAGTTAAAAGAATCTATTGAACATGCTCTCAGTTAAGACCACCTAATAGCCAGTTACTCAACATACAATCCAGTCCTCGCTTGAATACAATATAAAAACAGCTCACAAACTTGTACTTGTCATGAAACACACAGAGGATACAGAGAAATAAAAGAAACCATTCAGTGCAGAGCTAACTGAATTTACAAAGAGTACACTAACACGTCCCAAAAGAGTCTGTTGAGTGGTCAGCATTGATCTGTACATGATACACATTTGTGGCATGGCCACTTGGAACCCTGTAAGTTTAGTTCCCAAAGCCATAGATTCTCATCAAACAAGTGCTTAGAGTTAATGTTATAAGTTGCTGCAAGGTAAAAGTGTTTGTATCGAAACTTAGTGAGCATTCAGTACTTAGGAAGATATTGAAACAAGGGCTTCAGGCTGCCGTCCAAGTGCATTCTGAATATACAAGTATCATTTTAGTTATTAGCTAAATGCTTTATTATTGAGAGCCTTTTGTCCTGAAGAGGAAGCGAAAGTTCAAGAAGAAGTAGAATATGAGGAATAAGGAGTGTTTTAGTGGCTTGTGGCCTGTGCAGTGCAGAGTTAGGCAGCAAATGAGAAACTGACAGAACAGGCTAACAGGCTGAGGCAACAATGCAGATGAGGGTCAGTCGTGGATGACGATTGGGCCTCGCATCCGTAAACTGGGGTGAGGGGGTGCCAGGATAGGCACCTGCGCTGGCCCCTGGGGGACCCTGCGCAGGCTGATATGCTCGCATGGTTGTCTACACGCTCTTCTTAACTGTGAACGGGAGAGCAGCCTTCTGGCTTTCCTGAGAGGAACAGGAAGATAAAAAACAACATATCATTGTCTTTAAGAATGTAATCTTTCAAAACTTACATTTAACAATACACAATAAGTACTTTTTTTTAGGTATGATTTGTGACTGAGCTGGATAAATGTATGTATTTTTACTATAATTGATTTAAACATGCAAGATATAAGAAAAAATCTCTTCTTCTTATCCATGAAAGCTAATTTAACACCTGGTAGTTCACTGTATTTTTTATTCATCAACATTTATAAAACAGAGCAGCAAAACAGCATATTAGAATGATTTCTGAAGGATCATGTAAATGACAGAACAGGCTAACAGGCTGAGGCAACAATGCAGATGAGGGTCAGTCGTGGATGACGATTGGGCCTCGCATCCGTAAACTGGGGTGAGGGGGTGCCAGGATAGGCACCTGCGCTGGCCCCTGGGGGACCCTGCGCAGGCTGATCTGCTCGCATGGTTGTCTACACGCTCTTCTTAACTGTGAACGGGAGAGCAGCCTTCTGGCTTTCCTGAGAGGAACAGGAAGATAAAAAACAACATATCATTGTCTTTAAGAATGTAATCTTTCAAAACTTACATTTAACAATACACAATAAGTACTTTTTTTTAGATATGATTTGTGACTGAGCTGGATAAATGTATGTATTTTTACTATAATTGATTTAAACATGCAAGATATAAGAAAAAATCTCTTCTTCTTATCCATGAAAGCTAATTTAACACCTGGTAGTTCACTGTATTTTTTATTCATCAACATTTATAAAACAGAGCAGCAAAACAGCATATTAGAATGATTTCTGAAGGATCATGTAAAACTGAAGACTGGAGTAATGATCCTGAAAATTGAGTTTTGCCATCACAGGAATAAATTACATTTTATAGGGGGAAAAAAATATTTCACAATATTATTGTATTTTTGATCAAATGCAGCCTCAGTGGGCATAAGAGACTTCTTTCAACAACTCTTCAAAATCTCACCAAGCCAAACTTTTCAACAGTAGTGTATTAATTATTAAATATTTTAAATATATATGGGATTCAATATATATTGTAAAATATTAAAGTAAAACTATTTATAAAATACTGTGACAGGAAAACAGGAATAAATTACATTTTATAGGGGGAAAAAAAATATTTCACAATATTATTGTATTTTTGATCAAATGCAGCCTCAGTGGGCATAAGAGACTTCTTTCAACAACTCTTCAAAATCTCACCAAGCCAAACTTTTCAACAATAGTGTATTAATTATTAAATATTTTAAATATATATGGGATTCAATATATATTGTAAAATATTAAAGTAAAACTATTTATAAAATACTGTGACAGGAAAAACACAAGAACAACTAACATGCTTTAACATATTTTGCAAGCTCTGCAATCTGAGGGGAGAATGATCACAATTACTTGCTTATAAAATATCAAGAAAGAAAATTTAATTGAAACTGTACAGCTTTGGTTTTCCTGTGTGCACCACATAGTACAATTGTGTTTACCTCGGCATGTTGCAGATGCAACAGATTGTAATTATTAAGCAAAATAACATGAATCAACATGGCTTAGTGACATAAATAATGTTCTACTCATGATCAGGTCCATATACCAAAGAGAAATGAACGAATTGCCTGGGTGTAATGTTTAAGCAAAATGAATGAGGCTGACAGGCATCCACAGGGGACAGCCCTTAGATTAGATTGGCCGTAATGAAAGAAACGTTAACTGAGTCTCGAACAACAAATGCATGATGATATTCTAGAATGCACTGTGTATGTGTGCTTGCATTTATAGCACGTGTTTACATTATAAATCACACAGCATTAACACAAATACACATATTCATTCATTACCACCATAGAGCCTTGATATAACTATGATTAGGTGCATGCGTTTCCACTAATGGATTTGATTAGTTCTTTTGCAAAGCAACAGCAAACCTTTAACGCTACAAATACTCCAGAATGAGAAACATTCAAATGTAATGTTTTTACTATCTATTTTAACATCAATTCAAGCATCAGAGTACCATTTCAGCCAGAGAGACTCCTGACACTCTGGTGTAAACCTGTTAGAGAACCAGGCTGAGCCCCAGTCCAGATCCCATTTGTCTCTGGGTCTCCTGCCTAGTTAAAGGCTAATCTTTCAGAGCAGGGGCGCTAAATTTAGCCTAGCATCCGCTCCAGTGCTGGAGGCCATAGGGAGATGTGCAAGTCATGGCTCATATGGATGTTGCTGTAGTGGAGAGGCATTTTTCTTCAAGCTCCAGCTCACACCCACATCTCATTGCCAAAGATATTAAAACCAAACCCCCTGCTGCTTTGGGTGAACTATTATGACTATCTGACTTCTGTCTGTCTGATCTACATTAAGCATAAAAACACATTTTGCAGGTTGAGGTGTCAAAAGCCACCAGAAAGGTGTTAATCGAGTGTCTCTTTTGGTCATACATTTCATACATTTTGCAAGACTCCACAGGTAATGTGGTTTAGGCTTTGTGTACGGTGCGTGCGATCTTACCATGTTCAGGTGTCTAACAGCTGCAGCAACAAAATGAGACAAGCAAAGAGTCACTAAAAATAGTCAAAAACATTTTGATCCATGAAACAACAGGGCAAACCAATGTGTCCAATTCCCCCTGCTCAAAATAACATCTTCATTTGCAATTAATTTGAACTTTAGCTTAATTTGAATCTAACTAGAACTTAAGAAACATTTCACATCCAGTCTGTACATTAAACTCCAACTGCAAACAGGGATTTCATTAGCATTGTGGATGTGTTAAATTCATGCAGTTTTACATATTTGGTAAAGTGAGCCATTAATGTCTGCAGCTCTTAATCCTTTCATATTGCATTTCAGTTGACTGAGAATTAACAGCAAATAACCAGTTAATATTTTCATCATATTACTGCAAAATGATGGAGGATGGCTGTGAAGACCATCTCCAGTCTAAATAACATTGCCGAACAATTCTACTGATAAATGTTGCTATGACTCTATATTGATATAAGGAAATAAAAAAGTGCATTCACAAAGGCCTGCATAACTCTGCAAGGTAGTGAGACAAGTACACTTGCGATCAAAAGTTTGGACACAACTACTCTTTTTTTTTTTCTTTTTTTCTTTTTTACAAATTAAACTAAAAACAAAACTAAACTAAATAAAACTCAAATAAAACAAAACAATAAATAAACATATAAATAAATAAAACAAGATTTTAAAAATCTAACAAAGTTAGCGTAACTGAAATAACTAATGGAAGTATGCGATTTATGTAATAAACAATAAACAAATAAATAATATATTTTATATAATGTAAAAAAAAAATTCAATCAATTTGTCTAAAAAGCTATTTCCAAGCATTTAGACATAACAGGTTTTTAGGATCATGAGAATCCTAAAAATCTCAAAAAGATGTGTGTTTAAAACTTTTGACTGGTAGTGTATGTGTTAGTGTAGTGTTAAGTTACCTGTGGAGTCTCATCTCTCTGGATTAAAACTAACCTCAATCTGCATCAAAAATCATTATTTTTCAGTTGTCTCTCCATGCCACCACAGATTAATGGGATCATGGGTATTGTTAATTATAGGATCTTTGTTACTGAAAAATTGTCCCTGACATCCGAGATTGACTCGCCCATTTCCTACACTGACAACTCCGGCTTAGACCCTCTTACCCGCTACTGTCACTGGGTATGACCAATGCAGTAATTACACATGTGCCAATCCTGTCACCAAGATCAGTCACTCTTAGGTGAAGGTTGAATCAAAATGATGGAAACTTAATCAGATGTGGCGTGCCATATCAGGGGATAATCTCTGCAGGTGCCAATCATGGAAGAACAAGGTAAGGACTGCTTTTTGACATGGAGTGTGTCTGTCCTGCTGTTTTCTGTTAAATTTGTCTCTAGGCTATGTACAGACCTAACCGAATAAGCTAACCAAACGAGTGTGCACAAAAGTGTATTTCAGTGTCCCTTAGTGAACAAGGCATGACAAGTTTCAGTTTTTGAGCAGTGCGATGCCATGGGAAATACTGCCAAAATGGATAGCGAGGTCAGTTTGCACACCTCGTCTCTCGGGAAACCAGGAAGAAGCTGTCATCGGGAGCATCGATCCAGTTGGGTCGTCTCTTGCGGAGCATCAGGCCACTGCCACGAAGGTTGGAGGCACCGGTGCTGCTTCCATTATGCTGCTGAAAGAGGGAAGGAGATGGGAATCTTAAAAATATTTCAAAATACTTCTTACCATTGATGCACTTTTGCAAACCTCTTGCAAAAGAGTTACTGACTATATGCCCTCAGAGGACTTCAGTATTAATTTTATAGTGAGCATAAAATATTTGATAGATGCCTAGAAGCTCAGGAGTCTCAAATGCAATAAATTAAAAAATAATTTAAAAATAAGTTGGAAGAGTCTTGTCAAATAAAAAAATTCACATATATAAAATTAGTGTGTTGCTATCGGTTGATATTTTTTGTTTTGAAATGCATTGTTTTTCTTAGTGAAAGAAAAATTAAGATAATTATAGTAAAATTGTTTAATCAATATTTCATGTCTTTGCAAAAAACATTTTTTGCATTTATTTATTTGTTTTAAGTTGTCATGTAATAAACAGAATAATTTACCGATGGCTGGTTATTATTATAACCTTGTTGATGTTTCTCACTAACTTAGTTACTCCCCAAAGTACAGACTTGTAATACATTTTAAATCACAAGAAGCACACACACATGCATGCACGCACACACACACACACACAAAGCAATTTTCTTATATTGGTGTCCTAGCTTGAAACTCAACCTGGGATCTATAAACTTGTTTGGTCCCACGAGATGCAAATAATATGTATATAGATTGAAAAATAAGGCAACTTGTAATCTTCTTCAGTTTTAGAAATGGCAGGGCAAAAATGAGGTGAAGCTCCATCCACTATATTTACATTATTCATCTCATAGATGAACAGTGCCTTTGTGTTTGTTTGCTGCCTCTCACTTCTCATTTCCATTTCACCCAGCCGCAATAATCTGTGGGAAACCTTCGAGGCTGGAGATTGAAGCTGTCACTTGAACCAATTCACAGCATCAACAGTATCTGCATTTGAATATGTTATAAGATAGAATCTCTCACTCTCAGCAACACGAATGCTATACAAGTCATTTTCTTCCAGTCCTAATGAAAGCACACTGATAATATATGAGACCCCTGCTTTAGTCTAAACCAGTGATACCAGTGAATCAAGTCATTGTTACTTACCAGAATGGGTCCCACAATATGGGCTGGATTTTCTATGATAAAAAGAGGTAAGAAATAAGCATATTATAATGACATTCATTTTTGACATCTATACCATTGCACAAAAGGTTCTTTAGATTATTAACATGTTCTTCACACTTAGAAAAACAATGGTTCTTTTAAAAATAATGGTTCCAAAAAGTTTTTTTTTTGCAGTGATACTATAGAAGACACAGAAGAACCATTTTAGGTTCTCCAAAGAACATTCTAGCTCTTTTGACACAATCTCTATTCACCTTTAAAAATAAAGGTTCCTCAAAGAATCTGTGAATGGTTCTTAAGAGTGCTATGTATTTGAAATGTAAACCCACCTTGTCCTGGAGCACCGGCTCTCCTCTCTGCAGATTCAACCCTGCCGTGGTGATGATAGCTCCGTTTTCCCAACATGCCATGTGAGCCATGGCTGGGAAGAGAGGAAAGTAGGGGGTTCCAAAAAGTTTTTTTTTGCAGTGATACTATAGAAGACACAGAAGAACCATTTTAAGTTCTCCAAAGAACATTCTAGCTCTTTTTACACAATCTCTATTCACCTTTAAAAATAAAGGTTCCTCAAAGAATCTGTGAATGGTTCTTAAGAGTGCTATGTATTTGAACTGTAAACCCACCTTGTCCTGGAGCACCGGCTCTCCTCTCTGCAGATTCAACCCTGCTGTGGTGATGATAGCTCCGTTTTCCCAACATGCCATGTGAGCCATGGCTGGGAAGAGAGGAAAGTAGGCGTCGTGGGGGCTGCACCTGTAGGCCAGGGGTGCGATGAGGCCGTTGAACATGGGTTGCTGGACGAGTCTCTGAAATGACAGGATATTCACTGTGATCTGAGAGTTACATCTCAATGGAGGCAGTTCTAATGTTTTGCGGCTTACCAAGATACTGCAAGATGCTGGTCAGGGTGCTCCTCGGGGAAGATTTGGGCTTCATAGGTCGCCCTGTCATGCCCTCTGACACCCGGATCATATCTATTCATCGACCGGCAGTACAAAACAGACAAACGGAGATAGAAGCAAGTCAAAGAGCAAGAAAGAGACATTCACACTTAGACACCAACATGAGGCATTCTGAACAGGCCGGCTTGATGGATGTCGCGGTGATACACCAACCCTGCGGTGACTAATCTTTCTGACCAGACAACGATTTTCATGGGAGCAGCAAGCAGAGTCAAATCTCATTTACTGCTCGGTTCGTTCTTTAGGCCCTAGTGAACATATTTCTTTCCGCTGAACTCCACTAGTAACTAGACTGGTGTCACTTGGGTAATTTTAGGGAGGTTGATTCTTTGGTTCGTTTTAAAATTCATTAAAACTCCAGAGGAGTGGAAGTTGTTTAAAGCCATTCTCTTCAAGCAGTACTTCTTGTTGACTTGGCAAACCTGGAGAGAAGCTGTCTTGAAGATGTACCGATATAACTTCAATTCATTACCTCTTCAACAATATATCGAATGCGGAGAAAAACCATCACTGAACTGGGTGATGCATTATCTACTGACATAAAATCCATTCAACTGTGCCTTTGGGGAAGTGCTGAAATAGCAGTTCTCTGACTTTTATATGTGTAGTGTAACAAACCGTTCTCTTCACCTTTGAATCCTCATGGTTTCCAATGTGTTTTATTAAACTCTTATGATTCATAGTGTCAATTGTATGCCACATTTCAATGCACTAAACCCGATTAATGCCATGATTTTCATGCACAATCTCTGATGGGCAGGCAAAATGTTGAACATAACCTAGTTAGCCAGCATGTTGAATGAGGTTGGAAAGAGGAAAACAAATGCAATGTTGCATTCACAGTGGCTTCTTATGAGTGTGTGCGTGAAGGCAAGGCAGGAGCCGATGGAGCTCATGCTGTCGGGAGATTTCACATGACCGCTGCTCTGCTTGGTCTGTAGGTGTGCGTGCAACAGAGTGATGGACAGGTACACAAGACACATGAAACTACAAGGACTCAGATAGGATGGTTTCAGCCATGGTTTTATTTGTGTTTTGGTTGCCCACAAGACATTCACACAAAGAAAAATAAAAGAGAGAGACAAACCAAAGAGCATGCGGCCCCCACCCGGGTCCCTCATGCTTTAGGACACATGTCAGAACAACTTCTTATGGCTGAGGATACATACAGACGTGTTTGGGGTGGAGACAGAGGTGGAATGGAAGCATAGAATGGAGGTTTCGCATGATGGGAGTGGGGGCAATGCAAAACTGAGTGGAAAACTTCTGATTGGATAGTTGCAGAGCAGGTGATTGGAATTGACTCCCTGTAAAAGTGACCTATTTACAAGTGCCTGTCGAGAGGAAATGTGCCTGGCTACCATGATCTGTAACCTCATCTTTGGGCTTGTTTAAAAGTGTGTTGCATATTTGGGGGTTTTGAGTTTGTGATGTATTTGAAAAAT